CCCGGCCGACTATATTTTTATTACGACAGGGTCAGGTGACATTCATTTAAAAATTATTTTTCCTACAAAGTCACCATTTTTTTTCTTATATTTTGAAAGAGCATATTTTTTCCACCACTTGCTATAAAAACATACCATTCCTTATTTACTCTTTTTCAAGGCGTAAAGTACAGTTTTTACTACCAAGGTAGTTTTCGTCATTCTATGAACCACTAGCCACCTCTGTTGTAATTAACCCGAATGCACTGTTCTGATCAGAGATTCGAAGGAATGGCACTGAAATCTAGTAGGTGCCTATTCATCGATAACAACTTGTCATATTTTGTTATGGTCATGGCTAAGAAATGAACATAAGTGGTTTCATAATGACAATAGGTCCAAATTTCGGTTTCACAGAACTAAAATGATTGAAACATATTGCTAGTGGTGAAAAAAAAAACAATATAAATCTTGATAATAATAGTTATTTAACCAACTAGTGTATTATTGAGGGCTATTAATGATCGAGATATTTTAACGTGCGAGCGAAGTGAGTGCGTTAATGTTCGAGATCAATAATAGCCCTCAATAATACAGTAGTTGGTTTCAAAATTTTACCGTCGACTATATTTCTCATCTCTCCTGCAATGAAGAAAACTTGGTTCGCGAATTCATCATTCATCCGGAAACTACTAAGAATCACCCAGTAGCCTTGTTGACATCAGTGACATTTGACATTTGTCAAAATGATCAACATAGAAAATGAATTCCTTGTGTTAGAGAACTGGGATTTAAATCGTTTCAGACAGTTGGAAAGGCGAACCCGTTAACGGAAAATCTTCGATGAAATCCATAAATCCATATTTTCGATTTAAATGCAGATTCCGTTACAGCATAAACAATGAATGCACGCGGTGTATGTCTGGTTGCCTACAGAACAATCGTGCATTAATAGACAAATTGATCATTAAAAGGGGTCATTAATGAACGATTTAATGAACATTAAATTTACTCGTTAATACGAGGACGACGGAAATAGTTATTTAACCAACTAGTGTATTAATGAGGACGATTAATGATCGAGACATTTTAACGTGCGAGCGAAGCGGGTGCGTTAATGTTCGAGATCGTTAATCGCCTTTTAATACACAAGTTGGTTACAAAATTTTTCCGTCGACTATGTTTCTTATTTCTCCTGCAATGAAGAAAACTTGGTTCGCGAATTCATCATCCATCCGGAAACTGCTAAGAATCACCCAGTAGCCTTGTTACTGACATTAGTGTCATTTGACATTTGTCAAAATGATCAACATAGGAAATAAATTCCTTCTGTTAGAAAACAGGGATTAAAATCGTGTCAGAAACTTGGAAAGGCGAACCCGTTAACGGAAAATCGTCGATGAAATCCATATTTTCGATTTAAATGCAGATTCCGCTAGTTATAGCATAAACAATGGATGCACGCGGTGTATGTTTGGTTGCCTATAAAACAATCGTGCATTAATAGACAAATCGTCCATTAATAGGGGTCATTAATGAACGATTTCATACACATTAAACTTACTCGTTAATACGAGGTCCTCAGAAATAGAATATTATTACCACGGGACATTATAACCCTCAGCTGAAGCCTCGGAATATAATCTTGGTCTTTGAGTAATAATGATATTCTTTACTACCTTGGTGTATGAATAACTATTTTAAACAAGTTCCATCCAGGCGTTTCTTTCTTTCTATCTTCAATTGGTTGATAGCTATGGCACTGTAAAGTTGTTATTTTCAAATAAATCTTTACTGACTCCGCCATAAAAAAAATCAAGTCGGCCGGAGAACAAATTGTTTTTAACCAATATGAATTGGGATACATTTTGCATTCATATTAAAACTGATTAAAACGAGAACCCGGCCGACTTGATTTCAATTACGGCGGGCTCAGTTGAGATTTATTTAAAAATACTAACTTCAGAGGCCCTTAGCTTGTGAAAAATTAGCATTTTGTGCGAGTTATAACTATAATTTTTCTACGGCTGTAAAAGATAACAGCGGAATTTCTGATGTCATGGTCTTGTAGCCATCTGATTTCCCCTTAAGTAATGCTCATCTATTGGACAGAGCTGTCATTGCTTGAAATGTATTGACACTCTGTAGGCGATGAGATTTTTTTGAAATAATAGCATAATGCAGTCAAATTGTGATATCAGATAAGGAAATAAAATTGATGACATACAAAGTTCATTGATTCATCAAACACAGTAAAACGAGAGCAATTTTGTGTTATAGCCGTAGAAAAAACATCTTGTATGAAACTTCTACAAAAAAAATATGATCTATCAGAATATGAGAAAAAATTAGCTTTGTGGAAAAAATAATTTTTCTGACGCTATTTCTGCCATTTTCAAAAGAATTGAAATATGTTGAATTACGAAAAAATATACCTTGCACACAGCTGTTGAAATCCCTTCTGACAAATTTGCATTTTCAGTTCTCCTCTTACTGTTTTAAGCCAAAGGCGGGAAGTTTGAATCACCCTGTACAGTACTTGAAAGTTTCTCTCTTTTTTTAATACTATTCAAATCTAATTTAAATCCGTTTGTGAAGAAATATGAGAAGGAGAATTTGTTTGTGATCATATTTGCCTCATATTTTAATGTCCTTATATAGAGTGTGGAGACCTTAACTGGAATAAATTCTTTAGTGGCGAGGTAAATATTTTTCCTGAAAATTCCCGACATACGTCAACGAGATTTACCTACATTTCAACTAATACCATCCAGTGACTCTAACTGAAACCACCCTCAACAGGATTTTTTCAAATGTAACCCTATGGCTTGTGACCCTTAATAGGAAAGCTGATGGAAAGAGGAATCCAGCATACCAGTTTAATTTTAGTTTTTCATAAGTTGAAAGGTTACATTAAGTTGGAATGAAATTTTAAAATTAATTTTCTTTCAACATATCAATGAGGGGTTGCAAGCCATAGGGTTGCTTGTGAGAAAAAACATGTTTTGGTTGATTCCAGCTACCCTTGAAAGGATAGGTTAATACATTTAAACGTTGATGTGTCTCACGAATTTACAGAAAAATCAGTCATCCCCCCCCCATTCCAGTTAAAGTCATTAAAGTCTCCACTCTGTACTATAACAATGCAGGTATTTGACTAGTCTGATAAGTGGTATGCATTTCATTCTTGTCTGACCTATCAGGCTGCAATAAAAATTCTATTTTGTTGTAGAAAAACCAAGTATAATATAATTAGATTAAAAGTAAGTTCATGAAAGTAAGGGCTAACATATTTTATTGTCCACCAGATTGCACTAGCACTACTGACTGTATGATGTATGAGTGGTGAGGTCAAGGTTGGTAGAACTGACAGGGACACTGCTTCTTTTTGTTTCATTTGGCTTCTTCCTATGACATCTTTTTTTCTGTTGATTTCAAAATTGGGAGTTAAAAACACAAGACTGGTCAAGTCTAACTATAACTTGATCTTTCCTATTTGTTCACATAGGCTACATCATCTTTTATGAAATTTTTGAAAAAATAGGCCTTAGCTGTGATTCCACTCAAAAGAAATAACATTTCAAAAATAGATAAAAAACATATTGGCTGAAGGACTCAGGTAGATGGCCATTTGATAATATTTATTGTACAGTACATTTTTTACATTAAAATATGATTGAAAAGGTACTTTATTATTATTAGGCCTTAGCCTTCAGGGCTGTCCAGCAAAATTTCTGGATGTTTTACTTTGACATAGACCTCATTCCTCATGCTCTATATGGGTTGGGTGCAAGAACTGTCAGATGACCGACGTTGGAGGCAAAACATTGAAACACAACGTCACTTTTCTTATTTGTTTACAAGTGATCAAAATAGTTTTCTACAATTATTTTGGCATATGAATTGTATTTTTCCCCTATTCATCAATTCGCTCATGCCATCACATTATGCTGTTGTGAAATGCACAAAAACTGCAGTGGAAGACGAAGTAATCCGGTTGGTACAATTGATTTAAAAGTAAGTACCTACTATAGTCACTCACATATAGTTTTCATTTTTGAAATTAGGTAATTTCTCTGATTTCTCATCGGAATTCCTTCTGCGATAGGAGCTAATAGAAATATACCTGAAATTTCTAAAATAATGCAAGAAGATTGGATTCATGCAATCAATCGGGAGGACTGGTCTGACATGCTGACGATCGTGTGTGTTGTAGACATTTTCAATCTATTAGCAGTATTAGCTTGTATTGCAGAAGTGGCAGAAGGCAGAATGAATTTTAATAAGGAATGACAACATTTCATAATGATAACTATGTGAGATTACTATTCACCTGAAAAATCATATTCCTTTTAGTCTCTTGCTGCATTTTTTGTGCATTGTACAACAGCACAATACGAAGGCATGCTCGAATTAATGAATAGTGCAAAAACATGACTCATGTGCCAAAATATTGTGGAAAACTATTTCAATCCTTTGATTCCTCTGTAACCAAATAAAATAGTGAGGTTGTGTTTCAATAATTCACAGAAGAATGAGGTTGTGTTTCAATATTTTGCCTCCAGGGTCGGTCTGTTGGTCATCCTGCAGGCAACCTATATCGAGACCTATATTGTATAGTAATGCCAACTGGTGAGACTGAAAATGTTAGTCCTCATTCATCAAACAACAGAAAGAGAAGGAAGCTGAAGAATATAAAGAAAGTATTTCTGAAAGATGATGAGACATTGAGCAAACAATTATTATTATTACTATTAAAGTGAGAATGGGCTGAGGTGTGAACTTATAAAAGAATAAGAATAGCTACAAGACAAACAATTAGATTAAAATAGAATAGAAAAAGAACAAATATTGATACCCTTTGTCTGGAGAACTGTTGTTCATGGTACTTATTTGATTTTGGATATGGTTACTACCTATACATCAAAATAATAAAGTGCAGATGAAATTTTAAATGATCCCTATATCACCCACAGTTCTTGTGAAACACCTGGATTTTTTTTATATGTGTATCTGCTCACCTTTTTTCTCCTCCTTGCTGGACTGGAATAAGTGGTTTACGAATTCCTAATTTGAGCATAGGAATAGCCGTTGGCTTCAACTGACATCTATTATTCTCAATTATCTTATCCTGATCCAGGAAATGCTCACTACATACAGAGTTATTCTGAGAAAGATGCTCTATAGTAGGATCTCTTCCCAGAGCTTTCATCCATGCATCATGTCTTCTAGTAGTTAATCTTTCGGAGAAAATAATCATATATTCATTCAGATTTATGTCTCTCTCTGAGTCAATAAACAATGAATAGCAAAACTTCCAAGATAAGATAAGTTCTTTACTTTGTTGTTAAGTAATGTGAATGTGCCCATCATATTTCTGCATTGAAAATTATGTTTTCAGAAATGGTTACAATGAATGTAATAAAATGTCTAAAATTTGCAAACTTGAAACTTGGCGATAAAACGAAAACTTACGAGAAGTATGTAACTCCTGGAGTTCTTCCTGCAGTTTTACAAAACAACACCATGCACCTCATATTGTTTGTTACTGTATGTTTTTCAAAATATCGAATTTTCAAAAATATTCATAATGATAACAAAATAATAATAAACACGTATCAAGGTTCTTCTCATTCTTCTTCTTCGTTTCTTGGCATATTGGCCTCTCAAACAAACAATGAATGACGAAAGAAATTCGTCAAATAAGCCAAGAAACATAAAAGAAGAAGAAGAAGGAAAGTAGTCCAAAGCGAAAAGCGGGTCAAAAGATCAAAAGTTTTGTTTTGATAAGGATGTTTTGATTAACTAGTGTGTAGTGATTCAGCAGAGAATATGGCGAAATATGTAAATTCTAATCCAAAAGCATATCAAACTAGAAGAATCCAGCTATCAGCCTGTCATAGATTACATAGGTGATATTTTTATACATTTCACTACTTCGATCATTAATAATATTAGTCATTGGTTTGTAGTCCATCTTTGAGTGATGCAGAAAATAAAGAAATCTATGGAAAATGTAATCATATCAATGGCCATGGACACAATTATATTGGTAATGTTCTACATAAATCTTTAAAATCTATTGATTGCGATAATGAGGGCTTTCCCCCTGGAAAATGGAAATTGTTGGTAACCCTATACAGAGCGTGAAAAATGTTCAGGTGTTGAAACAAATATATATACAGTGTGTCCACCTTAAGGACTTACCACCCCTGTAAAATTGTTGGTAATTTTGCACTTTTCATGTGATGGGTTTTTTTCCGAATTTTTTTTTGGTACGTATTTTTGTCTGAAAACACGAATTTTATAATGAAAATGTGAACAAACCATTATTCATTAAGATATTTCACTATAAAGTTACAAATTTCACCTTCTTTTCCGCCTGTCTTTGGATCGCATTTAGAACAATTTGCCCTTCTTTTTCCATCATTGGACAATTTATATATATCACACAATGTTGAACACATTTTTTTCATTATATGAGTCAACTAGAAATATGGTATTCTTGTGATTTATCCATGTTTAGTGAAAAGAAGGAAGAATATCATTTGAAATGGCTTGTGTAATGTCATTCCAAAGCAATCTATTGACATTTGACATCTCGTATTTGGATTGCCTATGGATTAAATAGAAAGTTGAATTTTCTAGCTTAAAATGTGTCATTGAAGTACATCATGAGTATATAAAGTGTACAATGACAAAATAAAAAGAGCAAGTACCTGTAAATGCATCCAACACAAAGGGGAAAATAAGGCAAAATTTTGAACTTTTTCTTGAAATATCTCGATAAATAGTGGTTTTTTCACATTTTCATTATCAAATTGGTGTTCTTCAGACAAAAATACATAAGTACCAAAAACAAATTTTCGAAAAAAACCCATCACATGATAAGTGCAAAATTACCAAATTGTTATTATCTGACCCATTTCAAAAAACGTTTTTTTGTTGGATAGGTATTTGAAATGTCCATCCAGCAAGAGAGTGATTTTACTCATGAACTGTAATCATACTGCAACCAACTTATTGACCCATATTTGAGAAAGTACTATTAGAGGGATTTTTTTTCACAAGAAACAATGATGGATTCTGATTCCCTTACTGATTTTAATCATCATTAAACACAGGGTGTCCGAAAAAACGAATTATGTTTTTTTTTAATAGAGGTGATCAGAAGTATTGTGGTATTTTTGAGAAGAATCGATGACACATTATTATAGAGGATCACTTTGAACATATTTGTACCGATTTTCATCATTAAAAAATACGATGTGTATGAGAAAACAATTAAAAAGAAAAAGTAGGCAATATTTTTTCATCAACTCAAAAAAAATATAAATTGATTTTTCGAACACCCTGTGTTTAATGATGATGAAAATCGGTACAGGTATGTTCCAAGTGATCCTGATTCATCTTATCATTTTGAGTGAAGAATCAGGATGAAAAATATTGCTTACCTATCCTTTTAAATTTTTTTCTCAGACACATTGTGACGAAAATTGGTACAGGTATATTTGAAATAATCCTCAATGATAATTTGTGATTATTTCTTTCTAGAAAAAACACAGAGCTACACCTATTTGAAGAAAATGATGAAAATCGGTATAGGTATAATTCAAGTGGTACTGATTCAGAATCCATCATCAAGTTTTGTGGAAAAAAATCCCTAATAGTACTTTCTGGAACATGGGTCATTGAAATTTGTCGCAGTTGGCCATGATAACAGTCCAAGAAAGAGATCACTCTCTCGTTGGATGGGCATTTCAAATACCTATCCAACAAAAAAAGGTTTTTTGAAATTGGTCGGATAATAACGATTTTACAGGGGTGGTAAGTCCTTAAGGTGGACACACTGTATATATATATATTTCCTGAGGTACTTTATGGAGTTTTGAATACACACTCTATCAAATAGAGTTAACTCATTTGCATTCAAAATTCATCAGCCATTGACAGCTATTCATCTATTATAGGGGGATAAAGATTCTTTTTTGTGATAAAGCATCAAGTTGAGTGCATTTTAAAAACACAGTTCATGATTGTTTTCACATTCTTGAAGATACCTATTAAACAATTTTCTTAATCATTGAAGAAAAAAACATGCAGAATTTGATATTGATGTAGGAAAAATCATGAAATCTTCAGAAAGGAACAATTAAGTTTTGTTAAGGTACTAGAGGAGGTACTAGACTCTAGACGAATCTGGTAGGTTACAATAAATAGAGGTTTATTGTATAATATGTTTTAATGCTTAATTAGTATAACTGTATTGAAGATCTCCAAAATGTTGTCAGAATGTGTCTATTTCTAGTTCCCATCATATGATTCTTCCTGGCTACTGTGCCATAGATGGAAGTAACACTAATTTTTAGTCTTTTATGAATCAAACATTTAATGACTTGAACATGACTTGAACTAACTGAACGAAACTTGCTGCTTGACAAAGACAAACATAACCCACATTTTCAATGAAAATCTTGGATGTCAATTAAGTAACTTGTTCCAGTTGAATACTATACATGGAAAGGTACCTAATTACTCAAAGTAAACTGATAAAACCTTCAACCTTCAGTAATTATGATTTCAGAACCCTGGCTGAATAATGATGTGCCTGATTCACTGTTTAATTTGAATGGACATTCAATATTTAGATCCGATAGACCTGATTAAATTGGTGGAGTAGTTTGCATACACAGGGTGGTCCGTTTTTTAATAGGTACGGAAAATTTAACATCTTATAGTACTAACTTTTAAACGCTTCGTTTTTGAGATATTGGGTGTCAAAAATACGCTTCTGAATATATTTTTTTAATCAAAAGTTAGAAACGGTAGATAAATTAACGAAATTTTTCACAGATACTAAACTTTTTGAGCTTTATTAGATAAAATAAAAATTATTCATAAAAACTATTCAGTGGCGGCTGAATCTGGGGTGGCGAATAAGGTGGTAATAATTACACAAGTTTCATTTATTTTTCAAGTTTCAATGAAAGAAGCTATCGCTTGTAAGTTTTTATAACATTTTTTAGTAAAATAATACTACTTGATATCAATTAAAGAAGTAGGCTATGCTCAGTTGCTCACTGTTCACTGTTTATATGTGCTGTCACTCTGAAAGTTCTGTCAAAGAAATAACAAACTGGAGTTATTCCGTGTTTTTATCAAAAAGTGTAATAATTTTATTCCAATTTTGCCGTTTGTCAATATGCCGATGGGATTTAATACTGAAGAGTATGCAGATTTTCATTTCGTTTATGGATTTTGTAATGGAAACGCAGAGGCAGCAGTTTGGGAATACAGAAATCGCTTTCCTAGGAGAAGGGTACCTAATGCACGAGTCTTTATCAATACTCACTCACGTTTCCGTCAGTTTGAGTAACGTGGCAATAATGAACAATACCAAAATTATGGCCCACTGAAATGAAATGATAACAATCACATTCTTAGATTTTTTGATGCTTACCAACAAATCTAGAAAAGCAGCTCAACAGTTGCAGGTAATTTATAAACTAATATCATGTCATGCTTTTAGTAATTCAATGAACTGTAAAAGGTCTAAAAGTTAGCTCATTGATATTTCCACAATAGATGTGAATTTCATCACAATCGGTTTTAGCATTTCAGAGAAATCAATAAATAATCGATTTTTTAAAATAACTTGTTGTTGTTGTTGTTGTTCTTTATTACACCCTATATCTCGAAAACGAAGCGTTTAAAAGTATATGTTCATAGGAAGTTTGTTTATTATTTCAACGTACTATACGCTGTTGAATTTTCCGTATTAAAAAACGGACCACCCTGTATATCCATGACAGCATTACCAAAAATTTCCTAGTTACAAACATATCTTTCCACTGCAACAACATTGAAACAATCAACCTCTCTCTTCTTCTTCTTCTTCTTCTTCTTCTTCTTCGAAGCACTGGTGGGCGGGTGAACCCCCTGCACGTGGGCCTCCTTATTCGGGCCCATTGTGCGCCCACATGTTACGACATTCAGCTGGGTATGCCGACTGCCTTGGAGAAGTTCAGCAGCTTCCTCAGCTGAATCTCTTTTACGTCCTCTGGCCTCAAAATTATGTGGCCAAGGACAGCCCTCCTCTGATGCGTCAGTGCTGGACACTCAGTGAGGACATGTGATGACGTTTCGTCATCTTCCAGGCACCATCTGCAAAGGGGGTCATCCTTGATCCCAATAAGCTCTAGGTGCCTATTGAGGTGGTTGTGCCCCGTTAGGAGCCCTACTACCATTTTAAGGTTTCGCCTGTTTAGGAATAAAACCTCTTTTGCGAGCCTCTTCGAAGGTTCCTTTATGTGGAGCTTCGATTGTCTCATTCCTGGTGTGTCCTGCCATATTTTGAGGAATTGCTTTTGCAGCTGTTCCTCTATAGAGGACATTGCCAGGCTATTTGGTATTCCCAAGATTGGTTCCGGTCCGACCGAGGTCCGTCCGGAACCGATCTTTGCCAGTCTGTCTGCCTCCTCGTTTCCGGGTATTCCCGAATGTCCCGGGACCCACATGAGGCTGACATTTCTTGATTTTGCCAGGTTTTCCAAGGCTTTTCTGCACTCGGACACCAATTTGGATGTGATCCTATTGGATTGCAAAGCCAGTATTGCAGCTTTGCTGTCCGAGCATATAGTGATTGGTCTACGACCTCTCATAATTAGGTTTTCTTGGACGCAGGTGAGTATTGCAAGTACTTCTGCCTGGAACACTGAGGCATATTTGCCCAAAGGAACTGAAATGTCTTTACCTGTTTCTTCATTGTATACCCCTGCACCTGAACCGCCCCCAAATCTTGAGCCATCCGTGTACCAGATTGACTCATTGGGAGGAGGCACGCCAGGTGTTGTGTCATTCCATTCTTCCCTCGTAGGGATGACAGTGTTTGGGGCTTTGTTGAAATTCAGAATTGGCAAGGTATTATCCTTTCTCATCATGAGGATGGGACAGTTTTCCTTTGCCTTATTCCATATGAGGGAGTGTCCATGATCTGCTTCTGTTCCGACCCACTGGTTTGCACCGTTGAGTCGGTAAGCAGTTCTCATGGCT